ATGAAAGTTTATAGTTTGACTGGTCAGTTTTAAAACTATAATCTTTTTCCTAGCTGTGGAAGATTTATATTGTCCCTGCCAATAATCTCTTTCGTTGAACTTTTTAGAAATAAATTCATGTGAAATAGGAGCAAACAAAAAAATCAATGAGGAGAGATAACCAGCTAAATGTAGAATCACATCTATAGGTTACATAAATAAATTATCAGGTTCACAAACTAGAAACCCCATAAACAATAGCCACACCTACTTTTTTAACCCGTTAATTAGTAATGATATCTTTAATTAACTTTTGTACTTGTTGTGCTGCGAAAGCTATGTGTCTCGGTGGATCCAACAAAATTAGTTCCTATTAATAAGCAATTAAAGGAGCAAACAAAAAAAGAGCTGCAGGGCAAGGCCGTGTCTATAGTGCCCAATCTCTAAATAGTAGCCATATTTAGAAAAAACAAAATTAGTACAATAAATCGGAGGGTTTGGTCAAAAAGTTCTGTCATAGATTTATTTTCTTGGTAACGTTTTAGTAATTTTTTTTTTTTGGTTTTAGACTTTATTTAAATGTTTTTTGAAAAAATATAGTTCATAACAAGAGAAATTAACATGTATATTAGTCTTTCCATCTATAATTCATAATCTAATATCGTGTCAAACATAATGTAGTAACTAGCATTTAGGTTAGATTAAATTTCAGTTTTATCTTTATGTAATTAATACAGATTTTTACTATTTAAAAAGTAAAAATAAAAATTTTTCATAGTAACATACAATTTATTACATGCAATTAATGGAAAGTTTTATGTCACTATGAAATGTTTTAATTCTTATTTTTTATGTCACTAACCAACAAATAACTAGATGCATATGACAATTTAAAAAATAAAAATAATTTTTTTTCGTAGTTAGTTGCATAGAATTGTGGTATAACTAACTACATACTATAATTGTGGAAACTTGCTGAAAACATAAAATAAGTTGTTTATACGTCTTACATAGTTAACTATATTTACAGAGTTCTCATGACATAGCTAACTATATTGTCCGTTAACAAAAGATAGTTACGTGTTACATAGTTAACTATATTTACACATTACTCATAACATAGCTAAATAAGTTGTCTATTAAGTATTAACAATGGATCGTTAGTTATATGTGTTACATATTTAACTATATTAACACTGTACTAATGACATATCTAACTATACTATTCGTTAACAAGGGATAGTTAACTTTATGTTTTACATACTTAACTATATAAATACAATATTTATAACATAGCTAATTATACTGTCTACGGACACAATAAACACATTTACACAACTCATCCTGCTTAGGTTTGAAATCCCAAACACCAGTCTCCAAAATAATCCATTCACTCAACATTACAACAACCATAGTCCATTTTGCCATTTGAAACAAATAGTTAATTACGGTATTAAGAGTTATAGATAACTACAACATCATTAAAAAAATCAACTATAGTCAACTATACGTATTTCTCTTTCCTTCTCGAGATCCAGCACAACCTCTACTTTCCATATTCTTCACAACCCCTATTTTCTATATTTTTCACCACTGATTTTTATGGATTTTTATTATCAGAAATAATTATTAAAGTTAATAGGAGCATATTTGTCCAACTATTTTTTCTCTATGTTATTCACCTAAATTTTTTTATGGACATGTTAGTTTTCTAATTTTTGCTCAAAACATAATATTGAGCTAATTAACCCTTATAACAACCGTTAAAAAGAGACTTTTTTTTCAATTCGCCGTGAGCCTTTAGAAGCCTTGGCACAGCACTGCTAGAGAAACATATAAAAAGGAGTATTATAATCATTCTGTTGAAACGTCTTTGAATGTATTTTCAAAAATTATATATATATATCTTTGAATGTAAATTTGTAATGAAGGAGATGATTCTAGTGTCAAAGAATATATATATAGATGAGAGACCAAGAAATAAAAAAATCTTGTAACTAAAGAAGGTATGTAATGTAATTTTCAAAAAACATAAATAAATATGTAATGAGTTTGGTATCGATAAGATCAAGAACCTCCTCGAAATATGATGAGTGGTAGATGAATTGGAATTTCTTGGATCACCCATTGATTTCTTATAAAGCTTTTAAATATTTCTTGGATCCCTTGTATGTTATTTGAGTGGTTATTTTTTTGGATCACTCGAATATGTAATATTTAGCTCTTGAAATGATATGTATTTTCTCGAGATAAAAATTATGATTTGATTTTTTAAAAATAATTAATGAGTACATATAATTATTTCGTAAATAGTTTTAAATTGGACATAATGGATTAGTGAGTTGTTGGAGTCATATTTCTCTCTCTTGAGAACAGTGGTTAGAAACAATTAAATAAAGAAAAGAAGACATTCTACCAAAGATATCTCCAGGCAAACCATGCCGAAGTCACCAGACCGAAAAGCTGCCAAATACATTATGCCGAAGTCACCGTGCCGAGAAAGATCTTCGAGTTAGCTTTTCAATGAACTTGGAATCATGTCATTTGGAGTTGTGGTTGGCAAGATACTCACAATTTACCAAAGACGTGTCAATCTGGCCGAAACCACCAAGTCGAAGGTCTGCCAAAGCCATTATGCCGAAGTCACCATGCCGAGCAAGATATTTGAGTTAGATTTCCAATGGAGTTTGAGTCATATCATTTGGAGTTGTCGTTGACGATTACGCCCGATTTACTGAGAACATGTCAATATGGCTGAAGTGGTCGACCTGAAGACAAAACAAGATGAAATTTGGACACGAGGTAAAAAATTGAGTTAGCTTTCATCCAAAGAAGTTGCTAGTCGTTTGGATCAACGGTGAGAAAATTACATCAGTTATCATGGAGACATGTCAATATGGACGAAGTGACTTCGGCTTGTCCAAACTCACAATGTCGAAGTGGAGCAGTCCAACCAAAGTGGAGCAGTTGTGCGAAGTAGAGCAGTGTTGCCGATGTCGTCAATCTTGACGAAATCGTTTCGACTTAGGCATTGTGACGCAGTCGACTCAATGAAGGCATTATGATGCAGTCGACTCAATGAAGGAAATGTGCCGAAGTCAGTTTGACTTAGGCATTGAGACAAAGTCGACTCAACAAAAGAAATGTGTTGACGTGGGTTTAAGGAAGTGAGTGTGGACCGAAGTGGTAGATCCAACCTGAAGGTATTTTCAGACGAAGTCCACGAAGACGTAACCGACTTAGGCGATCAACTAGGAGTAGAATTAACCGACTTAGTTTAGTATATATACTTGTGTGTAGTCCTTGAGAAAATGATCAATCATACACAAAAGATTATATGCAAAAGCTTTCTTTACAACAATAAAATTAATTTTTTTAATCTCTTGTTGTGATTGTCTTAGTTTCGATTCCCATGTGAGTTAACTTAGGCCCAATTTCCATTTGTTTTCATTTCTCAAAATGATTGCAAGAATTGAAGTGATTTGGTTGTAAAACAAAAGAAGAAAAAAGTGTTTTAGTTAGCTTTGAATTTCTGAATCCAAAGTGGTTTTCAACACAATATAGGTAAACATTAGTGTTTCTTGTAATGGAGCGGATTCCACTTTAGGTGGTTAGGCAGTGGAGCACATTGAATAATTAAGTTGGTGAAAATTAGTGATCTTGAACTATAACCAATACAATACTCATATATTTCATAACCTAAAGCATGATTACATTTTGTTTACAAATAATATAAAATAACATGAGTTGCATTTTATATAGTTCATTAGTACCAAAATTTTAAGATTTCAATTCATCATCAATCTTTGATGTTAGGTAATAAATCTTCCCTGATGGTCATTTAAATTGTCTACACATATAACATTTAAATGACCATAAATTGTAAATTTTAAATTTATGGTCATTTAAATTGTCTACACCTATAATTAAATATTAGACGCCTAATTGTACAATCTTGTTGTTTGAATTATCTGTATTTTCGGCACCATAAAATATTTGTCTTCATATAGAGAACGTTGATGTGTATAGCTACATAAAATATTAATGTAAAGAAATTTGGACTTAATTATCAAGAGAGAGAATATTAATTTGAAATATAGATAAAATATCAACACGATTTAATTATATAAAATGACACTTTTATTTATTTAGCTAACAAAACTGGCAAGGCGATGCCAAACTTTACAATGTAAGCGTTCAAATCAACATATCTTCCATCCATAATCCATGGAAGCTCTTTCAGAAATCTATTCACAAAGAACCCTAAAATAACGTCAATCTGTAAAACTCACTGTAAATTAATCTTTCAGACTGTAAATTAGAGCTTTAAACACAGTTCTCTCGCCAATGGTGAAGTCGCATTCTTCAAATGACTCTCAATGGTTCATCTAACAGCTGCAGACATTCTTGCGGGTTGGCGTAGAAATAGTCTTCTTCCTTCGGTCTGTTGGGAATCACTAACCGCCTCTTGGGGCTTCCCATTCGAGTAGAGTGAAATGCCTTCACCGTGGATGAGAACACGTCCCAAGTCAACAATCCTTCAGTATATTCATCAATCAGCTTAACTAGGAACCTCCTGTTCAGCTGAATTGTCTTCTTGAACCCCAAGAATCTGAAGAAAAAAAGCTGGCATTAGCCTCGGGATGATAAATATAAAATATGGGAAGAAAGAAGATGAAAGATAACGATATTTCACCTGCGATGACCTTCAACGACTCTAGCCATGTTCCCATCATTGGTTGGAACAAATATATCACTCTCAAGGGCCACTAGGTAATCAAGTGCAGCCATTTGAGATGAATGATTCCGGCAAAAATCCAGATCAGAGGAATCAAGTAGAGTTTCTTTTCGGACCTGAGTTTCATAAGAAAAAGGACTCAAGTGAGATATAGAAGTTTGCGGAATTGCAGATGAGTATTTGATTTCTGCTACGAACCACATTTGGAAAAGCGTCTGTTAAAGCCTTCATCCGCCTTTGACCACCGTAGATTTCTCCAGCAGCAATGTAAATTTGAACGTTACGGTCAATACCCAACGCAGTTAGTGTAAGAGCGGTTTCCTCAGGAGTTAAAGGGCAAAGGCCTTCTTTCCTCTTCAGCTCAGAGTTTATAACTTTCTCTTTCCACCATGGATAAGCATATCTACCAACAAAAATAGTAAAACATTAATAGATCCATCAAAGTCGGAACAAAAAGAAAGAAGATTTTCTGGTTTTTTTGTACCTCATTCTTGTTAATTCTTCCTCTTCCTCGGGGTTGCAACCGTGGGAGCAACCGGAAAATGCTAACATATCCATTTCGTATCTGAGATGCAGGACAAGAAAGGGACCTTTCTCTCTCAAAATCTTGACTACTTGTCTACCTAATTCCTCAATTTGGGGAGTAAACTTAAGCCCGTTGAAATTTACTCGGCACCTCAGCTTCTGAACCTCCACAGGCAGTCCGTTATTAGCAAGTCGTGTATCTGTCTTGTTCAGATGTAAAACCTTATGTTTCTTCACCAGTGGAAGAATCTGTGCCCAAATATTTAATTTTTTAGTTTGAAGAATTAATAAAAGGACTTAGGTATAAAAAGCAAAGCGAGGACTAATCTCAAACGAAAAGATCAAACTCAGAAAATTAACCTGATTTTGGTAGTAAGACATGTTTGACCAACTAATAGGAGGCATTGCGTGGTACATTCCAAGCTCAACCCTCTTCTTAAGCCTTGGAGGCAACTCTTTGAGTATCCGAACTTCATCTCTTAATGAAGTTATGAAGTGATCCACATCGAATATGTCTTTAAACTCACTGGCCCGAAGAAGAGAACATATTCAGAGATCGTGAACGAAAATAAACAGTTCACAAAGAAGTTTCAAGTGAGAATAGATGAGATACATACCTTGGATCGTTCCAAAACGAGGTCTTGTCAAGCTCTGGCACAATAAGTGTGACATTCATGTATCTTGCAACAGTTACCATATCACATATCTGCAGAAAGCAGACCATAAACAAAGTAAGCAAATCATATCACTGAAAGACGAAAAACTAAGACAGATTAGTTCTCATTTGTACCGCTGCTCGCATTTGATTGAGTCCTCCATTGCAGGAAACCATAAGATAACCATTGTTCTGATACACCCCTGCAAACAAACAAAAATCACAAAAGATTAGTTCTCAAATTCGTCTCCAAGTTACCTACATTATTCAACTCAACAACAAATTAAACAACCAATCTTCTATAAAGAACTTACTTTTAGGTGGAAGGGCGATTTTCACGGGAAGAGACTTCATTTCTGTGGCCATGGACGAATCATGATGATTGAAACAAGAAGGCCAACCCTTGAACAATCTTGGTCCCCACATTTCTCCCAAAGCCATCAAATGAACAAAGCAACTCCAAAGCAACAATACAGTAACAGCACGAATCATCCATAAGCTCATACGAGACCTCGAGACCAATGAGTTCTTTAGTTTCTCAACCTTGCTCTCTCCCAAAAGCCTAACTTTCATCTCCCAAAGTTTCCTGTGGTAAAGAAACTTCTCCATTTTACACATAAATTTTCTCTCAGAGGAATTTCAGCGAACACTTAAAGGGTAAAATAACTCTGCTTTAAATTTTAATTAGCCCATAACACTCAGAGAAAAATGTAATCGCCACGCAATACTAGGCAACACTGAGAGCATTAATCACACCTCGAAAAACCCAGATCTTGCTCGATTAAAAAAATGAAACTTGTTTAAGAAGAATCTGAGGTTTAATGTACGAGCTGAGAAAGACAAAAAAAAAAGAGACAACTTTCAACACTCAGATCTCTCAATTTGAGGCCAACACTTGAAGTTACAGAAACAATGAGAAAGAAAGTCTTTGAAATTCAGCAAATGGTGATCAATGCTTTAAACTCTTCCCAAAAGTAGCCGCAGAAATAAATATCGAAAAAGAGAATTGATTTTTAATTCGTTGTAAATGTTTGGTCGGAGAGATGATTCTCCGACGAAAACGGGTCGGTGTCAAACGGAAAATTTAAGATTGAACACGTCGGAGAGATAAGAGAAAAGATCGGTGTGGGAAAAAAAAAGTTCAACACTTTTTCTACCAAGGAGATGAAAAAAAAAAGAGCAGTCTTTAGGTTTTTCTTATTTGTCGGCAAAAACTGTGATTTTATAGTCTTTTTTATCATTTAAAAAAAAAAATAGTGAGAAATACTTCCTATAATATTCTGGACCTAAGAGCATGATTATAGGTGGGTAATAAGAATAAATATATGAGTTTTTAAAATATAAAATTATTAAAATTTGAGTAAAAGGATGAAAGAGAGTGTTTTTGTGGGGTGTATTGAAATATAAAATTAATAAAATTTGAGTAAAGAGAGGAGATAGTGGATATTTTTTGGAGAGAGGGTATGTATAANTTGTATGGGAAGAAACTTTTGNAGANGNGTTTTAGGAGTGTTTAAATATAAAATTAATAAAAGTTGAGTAAAAGGATGAAAGAGAAGGTATAAAGTTGAGTAAAAGGAAGAGAGAGTGTGTGTTTTAATAATTTTATATTTAAGAATTTGCTATATTTACTATGGATAACCATGCCCTAATATTCTTTGCGATTTAAAATATTTAATCTGATGAAAAGCCAAAGTAGACCTTTAATTACATAAAATAAAATAAGATATACTATACACGTATTTTGGATAATTTAAAAAAAGTTTAGAGAAAAATAAGGAGTTTGAATGTTGGTTGACCAAATACATTCAATCCATATTTACTTATTTTTACTGCCATTCAATTTTTAAAAAATTTGTATTTCACATGGAATAAAATAATATATCTGCAAGTTATATAACAAATTTTCAGTTATATCTAAACCACATTGGCAAGTCTAGCCTCCAAAATAATTCTGTCGTTAACCAAAACTAATCCATGAGTTAACTGCCAAAACTCTAAGCTGCATGTAATCGAAAACGAAAACGTTAGAAAACGCGAACACGGTTTTTTTAAAAAAAAAAAACGGAAACGTTTTGAAAACGTATATATATA